CCCCCTTAGTTCGCACCATGAGCCTAGTAGAAAAAGAAATGGCCCCTAGTTCCCGGCGCCCCTTTAATGGGGCAGGGGTGCGAAGAATCTCCGGGAGAAAAACCGGCGACGAGGTTCGCCACCCGTCACGTCCTGTCTCCCGGAGGGTCGAAAAGTAGATTACGGAGGCCCGTCTGGCTACGCTGAATGTATGTGGAGCAATGAATGATAAGATGGATGAAGTATGCGAAATGATGAATGATAGAGGAATAGATGTGTTATGTGTAAACGAGACGAAACGAAAGGGAAGAGATGTCACTGCACATGGCATGTATACCGCTTACTGGTCTGGAGTAGACGAGACCGAGCGGGCATGCCAGGGAGTCGGTGTCATCCTTTCAGAAAGAATGGGTCAATGTGTGAAAGAGTATGAATGTGTTAGCCCAAGGCTGCTGTGGATACGATTGAAAGTGGGCTTAAAGAAGTTGTTTGTGCTAGGGGTGTACGCCCCAGATATGTCTAAGCCCACTTATATCCGAGAGCAGTTTTGGGACATGGTAAGGCTGGTGTTGATGAAATGTAAGGAAAATGAAAATATTATTATGTTAGGAGATTTTAATGGAAGGGTGGGGGTGAAGAGGTCTGGTTATGAAAGGATATTAGGAACGTTTGGCGATGAAAGAATAAATGAGAATGGTGAAGACCTCCTCACCGTATGTGTGGAAAAGAATCTTTTTGTGGCGAACACTTTCTTTCGCCATAAGAGGATTCACATGTATACATGGGAAAGAGGGGATGATAGAAGCATGATAGATTTTATAATTGTGGATGAAAGAATGAGGAGCGCAGTGGTAGATACAAGGGTTTACCGGGGGTCCAACGTAGGGACGGATCATTACTTGGTCTTATGCCGAATTAATGGTCTATTCAGACGTTGGCGGCATCGGACATCGGTGTCTACCACTGCGTTACAGCGTATAAGAATAGAGAGGTTACAAGATGAAGGTGTGAAAGAGAAGTATAAATGCAGACTGAGGGAAAATATAAGTGGGTTGAATGAATTATGTATGAATGATTTAGAATTGAAGAATGTATGGAATAATATTAAGAAAGTTCTGGTGGATGCAGCCACCGAAGTATGCGGTGTAAGTAAGAGAAAGAATGAAAGGAAAAGTAATACGTTGTGGTGGGATGATGAGGTACGGATGGAAGTTGAAGCAAAGAAGAGAGCATGGCTAGATTTACTAGCAACTAAAGCTGGCAATGCTGGCGGTATGAATGATGAGATTGAAAGAAAAAAGGCAAACTTTAGACGTATAAATAAGAGAGTAAAAGAAGTTGTTGAAAGGAAAAAGCAAGAAAGGATAGATAAAAATGATAGAAGGATATCTGATAACTTCCAGGAAAATATTAAAATGTTCTGGAAGCTCGTAAGAACTGCCAGGGGAATTTCAAAACAGCCTAGAGTGAATGCTATACGAGACGAGAATGGCTGCATGCTGAATGATGAAGTTTCGAATTTAAAGAGATGGAAGGAATACTTTGAAAGCGTGTTTAACACGTTAAGTGCGAAGCGAGGCCTAAATCACCCCTGATGCAACTTCCCTGTGGTGCGGCAAGCAAAAAAGTGAATTTCTCTGTCGTGCGAATGGCATAGCTTTGGTTTGGTCCAGTGTAGGAAAGAGATAAATATATATTTGAGATCACTAATGGTTCCGGACTCGGTGGTGTACCTACCTTGGTACCGGATGTCTTAGGCCTCGTGCCGCACAGAATTAATATAATTTTAATGCAGTGCGGAACGAGGCTAAAACGTCCCATATCCCCCCTGACCTCGTACCGCACTCAACGCGAGCTTCCCGCGACCAGTGTTGTGCATCACGTCGATTGGAGAGCACGTCCTTTTACAGCGCCGAACATGTCTAAACGATGTCGGAAGAAGTTAATTTTAAAAAACCCAGAAACAGAGCCAAAACAGGTAAGTTTTTAATGAAAAAATCTTCAGTAAGTACCTAGTTTTTTCTTATCTTGGTAGCTATGTACCTAAAGTAAGTGTAAGATATTATTACTTAAGTATATTATACCTAAAGATATTATTGGTAATAACGGTATTATTGACGTACCTAATACTTTGCAACATATCTAGAATTACCTATTATCCTATATCGTGATAATAATGTTATTATTATTAGGACTTAACACTTAATTGATATTTTTGTAGGTAGTGAAAAACTCCACAAGAAACGCAAAGCAGCCGTTGACAAAACAGGTAAGTAATATAATTAATATTTCAGTAGTTCTTTGTCTAGGTTTTGAAAGTAGGTATATAAATATTAAAGATTTTTAGGGTTCCGTATCGAAAGGATAAAAACAGGACCCTCTATTACTAAGACTTCGCTGTCTGTCCGTTTGTCGCGATAGATAGATAGTTGAAGTTTTCTCAAATTATGTAGGCCGCTATTACAATAATACTAAAAAGTTAAAAACAACAAAATACCTATGTAAAGGGATATTTTTAATCACCAAGTTTGTTAAGTGTGTTAGATTCGACTTATGTAAATTTTACGATATATGTCACGTGGTCGGAAGAGAGCACCAGGCGGAGTATATTATTGTACGATGGTAAAAGTACAGAAATTATTGTGTTAGTAATTTAAGAAACTCAATATTTTAATATGAAATGTTTTGTTTTTACCCATCTTAAATAAAGGATTGCAGTGTTTGTAAGTACGTTTTGTATAAGCATGCGTGGATATGATATTTCTAACATTTATCTATAAGATTACTTGTGTGAAAAGCTTGATACGAGAATTAATTTTGCACTAACTAATACACCGTTTTTAACATAATATTCAACAACATAAGGTGCTGCCAAATGTAATCGCATGTAAATAATCTGGACCATAATAAAGCTCGAGAAGAAAGATGTAGCATACAGACTATTTGGTATAAAATGACAGTATATTATATATAATATACCGCAGCTTCACTCGCTTCAGTCTTCACTCGAAATCTAGGCTTAATGCGTCTCGATTAAATCTGCTATCGGTTAATGAATAAAGCGTTTACGGAGTGGGACTGGGATTCTAAGTATTTATTGTAAAACAAATCTTAAAAACTTTCTTTAAAAGTGTGTGGTGTGTGTGTGTGTGAGTTTGTTTTTTGTAATGAATAAGCATGCCAAATTCATCTCTATTTTTAAACTGCTGTTTATATTTTGCACCACTTACATGAATAATAATATAACATCTAATAAAGCGAACCCTCCTAGGTTGTAACCACTCGCGAAATAGAACAACTTTCATAAGAAAACGATAAAAATACTTTTTTATCGTTTGTAAAAATACTTTTTTAAGAAAATTTGTATACAGGTAATATCAGTTGTTCCAACTGGTTGCCTTAATTATGATACCTATACTTATTGGTAATAAAATTAAATTGTCACACAAAACTTACTCTTGGGACTTTGTATAGGAAGTATTATATTTTTTCTTTCTTTTATTTTGATGAAACTTGTTTACTTTCACGAGTTGTATCACCACCTAAAGAGGGTTTTCATTTAAGAATAACACTTTGTTTAAACTATCACCAAGCAAAGGCTTTCTCTAGCAGCTTATTAATTAATTCTATTTTCAAGTGTACCGGTCATACAAAGCCAATATTTTTAATTAGGTACTGAATTGTCACTGTGACGAAGACATTTTGATATTTTACAAACCTGGTTACTTATATGAAAATGATTGAACTTAGAGACATTTTTGGCGATCTATTAAATAGTCTATAAAGAAAAGTACCTACTTTGAATATCATAATACCTAAACTAGTCGGTGAGCCCGCTTTTTTTTTTTAGTAGCCCGTAGGGATCCCACTGCTGGGCAAGGGCCTCTCCCAAACATTTGGGAGGAATTGCCATAATCGCCACGCTTGGCAGGCGCGATCGCAGTAAGATGTCAAACGGTTCAGAGACGCTGCTGCCCGTCTTCTGTGTTCCTTTATTCCCTTAGTCGCCTTTTACGACACCCACAGGATGAAATGGGTTGGTACTATTCGCCGCCGGCACCACACAGCTTTATTTGCGTATCGTTTTTTTTTCTTGTCATTTCTATTCTATTTTTTTACCGTGTTTTGATCAGTACACTCAATAAATAGCTACTGGTGGCTGAGAACTGCCTGTTTATGCAAAATACAATATGTGAGTCATTTTTTTCAGAGTCCACCGAGAAGTGATGTCCAACCAACCAATCGGCCAACATTGCCAATTGAAAATGTGTTTGACGATGAGAGTGATGAAGAGATTTTTCCAACAAATAAACGTCAAAAAACATATTTTTCTACTGAACCAAATATAACTGAAAAAATCGTACCTTTACATGAATTTAGCTCACAACAAGAATGTGTCATTGATAAACAACAGTATGACAATACAAAACAATATACTTTCTTACATGGGCACCCAAGCTCTATAATTATTGCAAATACAAGAACATTACAACACAAAGCAAAAACACGTGCTCAGACTGCCACTAAAAAAAATTCAATTTATCCTGATCAAGTGAAAGAACCAGAAGAAACCTCACCTCAGTCCAAACATCCTAAAAACTATTCAACTCAAAACACAAGAAGAAACAGTGTATCTCAGTCCTAGCACCGGAAAAACTTGTCAAATATTGCAGAATGTTCGCTTGTCCGCTTCTAGTGCTTCAACCTCACCAATAAAAAAACAAAATCCTATAGGTTCCCCTTCAAAAGATTTTCCTCATATAACTACGGAGAGCAGAGCTGGATCTTTGTCAGAAATCTCACGCTCCAATTTACTGGATTGTAATATATCACTTAGTGAGGACAACATTCAACAATTACTTCGTACTCCGACACAAAAAAGACCGAGAGAAAATGTTACATCCGAATGTACATATTCATAAGACTTTAATCCGTCCAAATCCAAAAAAAGTCATGAAATAGTAGAGGTCTCTGTAATTATAGAAAGTATTCCTGATGACAATGTTAAAGGAAAACGAGACATGAATAACAAATTGCCAACTGTTCTAAAATCACCTGATATTGTCGAATATGATATTATTGAACATATAGACTGCGAAAACAATAATATAATACAAACAAACAAAATATGTCACAGTGTGCAGAATATTCGAAAATCACCTGAGTTGGATGAGAGTAATAATATGGAAGATGATAATTTTAGCGGTACTGACAATGATTATAGTCCTTCGGAGGAAGAGTGTAGTGATTCGGAAGAGTATGCTTCAATGGAAAATTGCGTTCATTCAGATCAGGATTTATCTCCAGATAGTGAATATGAAGAAGCTACAGAAGATGACATTTTAGTCACGGACGAAACATTACCCGGCACGCAAGCTAAAGATCACGATGAGTGGGAAAATATATCGGAAAGTCCCATAACTTTTAATGAATTCGCTGGAGAATGTACGTTTAATTTACCCCCGTTTGTGGGAGTTACACCTGAAGATATATACAAGATGTTTGTTACAGATGAGATGATTGATATAATGGTATCTGAAACAAATGCTTACGCACAAAAGTATATACAAATAAATCAACAAAATATGAAACGTAATTCACGCATGACAAAATGGAGTGACACCAGTTCTCAGGAAATGAGAACATTTTTGGCTGTTTTAATGGCAATGGGTTTGTGTAGAGTTCCTAATTTAAATTTATACTGGAGCAGAAACAAATTGTATCGAAACGAATTTATTTCTTCAGTAATGACAAGAGACAGATTTTTATTGCTACTTAAATGCTGGCATGTCAGTGATGTAAGTAATGAAGACCAAACTGACAAACTATATAAAATTAGAAATATGTTCACAAAGATTACAGAAAACTTTCGACGTATTGCAAATCCTGGAAAGTATGTGGTAATCGATGAAACCATGATACCATGGAGAGGAAGACTAGGTTTTCGCCAATACATAAAAAACAAATCACACCGGTACGGCGTAAAGCTTTATAAGCTTTGCACTCCCGAAGGTTATACTTCTGAGTTAGAGGTTTATACAGGGAAAAAAAATCAGAAAAAAGAATTAGAACACAGTAAAAAAGTAGTGTTAAGATTGATGACAAATCTGACAGAAATGGGTAGAATCGTAATAGTAGACAATTACTACACTTCGTTGGGCCTGGCAGAAGATCTTCTATCACAAAAAACATTTTTATGTGGAACACTTAATAAAATACGGAAATATCTGCCAAAGCAAGTTACTAGTTACAAATTGCAGAAAGGCGAAATTATTGGAAAAATGAACAAAAAGGGCGTAAAGGTAATGAAATGGATGGATAAACGGAATGTTTTGATGTTGACTACGTGCAAAGATCACGATGATAACCTGATAGATACTGGAAAAAAGAAGAGAGGAACCGACGAATGCATAAAAAAACCGGGATGTGTTTTGCTGTACAATAAAACAAAAAAAGGCATTGACTTTTCTGACCAGATGTCTTCTTATTATACAACTTTGAAGAGAGGAATCAAATGGTGGAGAAAAGTTGTAATGGAACTAATATTTGGTACGGCGCTAATTAATGCCTGGATTGTGTTTAATTCAATCCAAACTGATGGAAAAAAGTTACCAAAAAGACTCTTTGTGGAGAAACTTATAGAATCTTTAATTAAAAAGAAATCGATGAGACCCCAGGTAATGTAATGCTTAGATATATTTCTTGACAGTCAACGTGTTGAAGCTTTCATAAACTAAGCTTGACATTTGGTCATTATTAAGTTATTTATTATTGTTTCCTTTTAATTATTCTGAATTTAAGCTACCTTACCTACCTACTCTTTCAACATTTTAAGTATAAAACAAACACATTCATTTGATGCAGTTATACCTACATTATCATTGTTATTCTCATCTACGATCTAACCTAAGTAACAATGTCAGTTTTATTACGTTATCTTTACATTTTTGTTATTTTTCAGCACCTGAAAGCGCACGCCATTGCCTCGAAAAGGGTGAAAAAAGGAGAAGATGTGTTGGTTGTTACCAAAAACTACGCACATTTTTACCATCTCGTGAAGCTGATAAAAAATCCAAAAAGATTTTGACTCAGTGCACTCAGTGCAAAAAATCTTATTGTCTACCCTGTTTCAATGAAAAACACTCATAAATAAGTACAACATATATATTGAGATTTTTATAAAAAAAGTATATTGATACTGATTTTTTAATGTTAATTCAAGTTCTAATAATTGTATTTTTAAAGCCCGAGGCAGAATAAATAGGACAGTTTCTTTTCTACTTCTGGTTGCCTTTTTTTTCTATTCTGTGAACCGCATTAAGATTTTCATATACAAATAGAAAGATAAACCTTATGCATAAACCGTAATCCATTATTTTCCAATAATAAGTCTGTAATAGGTGCCTCTTAATGGTATAGAATGGAACGCTTCGTGCGCGAGTCCGACTCGCACTTGGCCTGTTTTTTTTTCTTTATGGCGCCTTCAAGCACAATTTAGATTATTTAAAAAAAAATGTATCCTTTGATAGCTTTGTGTTGTTTTGCCAGGTTTTGCCCTTAAAACGATCTAATGAGATATAATTGTTCAAAATCGGTCAAGTCGTTGCGTAGTTAAGACAGTTTAAAAACGTCGATATTATTTTTCCCATCACTAATCGCAGCGAAAATTTGCCCTATTTCAGTGCGTTACGAGGTGTATAAGATCCCATATTTTGTTTTGCTAATAATTCCTAAACTAGCCATCAGATCCCGGGGCGACGGTGGATTAGGGTTCATCAATTCACTGTCTATATCAATAAGGACCAAAATTCTCATTTATCTTTGATTTCGCGCCAGAAAATGGATTTAAGTCTGTAAAAGGAGGTGGGGTCTAATAGACCGCGTGTCGCCCTAACGTCTGGTCACGGTACGGGCCGATTATACCTCGTGCCGCAGGAACGGAAAGTATGCAAAAATTGGTGCCGCAGCTAACGTGTTAAGAGTGAAGAGTCGTCTGAAATAAGTGAAATAGAAATTCCGGAAGAAGTGGAGAGAGGTAGGGAGATAAGTGTAGATGAAATAATGAAAGCAATGAAAAGCATGAAAGCAGGTAAGGCAGCCGGATATGATAGAGTATCACTCGAAATGCTAAGGGCTGGTGAGGGTGTGGTTGCAGGCCTGCTGCACACCTTGTTTAATTTGTGTTGGGAACTGAAACGGGTACCGGAAGACTGGTGCAAAGCCGTTATAGTCCCAATATATAAGGGAAAGGGGTCGCAGCAGGACTGTAAAAACTACCGTGGTATCAGCTTGCTTAGCATTGTGGGTAAACTGTATGCTAAGGTGTTAATTGAAAGAGTTATGGAAGAAACTGATGGAAAAATTTGGGATGTGCAAGCTGGATTTAGAAAGGGGATGGGGTGTACGGATCAAGTCTTTTCCATGCGCATGATAGCGGAGAAGTTTTTGGCTAAAAACCAGAAAGTTTTTTGTGCGTTCTTGGACTTGGAAAAGGCTTATGACAGAGTGGACAGGAACGTGTTATGGCAAACACTGAACTCATTTGGGTTGAGCGCTGGCTTGATACAGGCATTAAGGTCTCTTTATAGGGACTCTAGTGCTTGTGTCAGGATCAACGGGGTCTACTCGGACTGGTTTGGCATTCATAAAGGTGTCAGACAGGGATGTGTGGCTTCCCCGTGGCTGTTTAACCTATTTATGGACAGTTGTTTGCAAACTTTGAAAGTTGAAGAATGTGGGTTGAGAATGGGTGAGTCAACCGTCAAATGCCTTTTGTACGCCGATGATCAAGTCATATTTGCATCGTCGGCGGCCGAGTTGCAAATGATGGTTACTTTAATGAATTGTTCATTGAAAGAAAGGGGTATGAAAGTGAACGCAAGTAAGACGAAAGTGATGGTTTTTGAAAGAGAAGAAAGTAAAACTTTATGTAAAATAAGAATAGAAGGGGAGTTGATTGAGCAAGTGGATGAGTTTGTATATTTGGGATGTTTATTTAGCAGGGATGGTAGATATGATAAGGATATAGAACGACGAGTGAACGCAGGAAATAGAGTGAATGGGGCTCTACACGCTATTGTGAGGAGTCAGAATGTGTCAACTAAGGCACGTATGGCAATTCATAATGCTGTGTTAGTACCCACTTTAATGTATGGTAGTGAAAGTTGGGTCTGGCAGAAGAAGCATGAGAGTAGAATAAATGCTGTAGAAATGCGTTCCTTAAGGAGTATGCTAGGGCTGAATCTGAATGACAGGGTGAGAAATAGTGTAATAAGAGAAAAGTGTGGTTTGCAAGATGACGTTGTGACAAGGATTAAGAAAGGAATGCTTCGGTGGTTTGGTCACGTAGAAAGAATGAACGAGGAAAGAGTGACAAAGCAAATTTATGTTGCAGAAGTGAACGGCAGGGTCGGGAAGGGACGCCCTAGACGAAGGTTTATCGACCAGATCGGCGATACATTGAAAATGGGCCAGATTAGGAGTACCCTTAACCGACGAGCGTGTATGCGTAGATATATGGATGTGAAAGAGGCGAGAGAGGTGTGTCAGGATCGCGCCAAATGGAAGTCCGTAGTCTCTGCCTACCCCTCTGGGTGACAGGCGTGAGTGTTTATGTATGTATTATGTATGTATGTATCTACCATGGGGAGTGCTCTGAGGAATTGTTCGGATTAATCCCAGCCGCCAAATTTCACGAGCGCACATCGCGGCAGAACTCCCGTTACCATCCACACCATCTGGATGATTGGCGGTCCACCACTGTGCGATTTAGAAGATGTTTTCTTCCTCGCACGACTTCCTTGTGGAATCGATTACCATCAGCGATTTTTCCGGACCGATACGACTTAGGGACCTTCAAGAAAAGAGCGTACTCCTTTTTAAAAGGCCGGCAACGCATCTGCAATTCCCTCCCTGGTGTTGCAGTTGTTCATGTGCGGTGGTAGTCACTTACCATCAGGTGAGCCGCATGCTCGTTTGCCCCCTCTCCTATAAAAAAAAAAACTCTCTATGAAGTGCCTACCCACTAAACACCACATGTGGGTCTGGTTTTGGCCTGGAGGGCCATTCTGCCGTATCGGAAGCGACGCCCTTTAGGGAAAGGGGGGTGCAGTCCAGTCCAGCCCAGTCCTCACAGTCCCACTAAGCCACGGTGTTTTATACATCTGCCGTACGTGTGGAATGTCAGGTCACGTGCGCTCCGTTTCCAGGAATCCATCAACAGAAAAATTCCTTTTTGCTGATTTTCTTACAACCAATCACGTGTTAGTTAATAATAATTAATAAGATTCTTATTCGTTGTTGTAACCTTAAGACTAAATATTTTAAAGTTAACAGTAAACATTGGTTAAAACTTTTTTTTTTGTATATAATTAATCACATTTTTATAATAAATTATTCTACTTGTTTTTACTTATTCTACTCATTTCCACTGATTCTACTCTTTCTACTCACTCGTCCTGTAAGACCAGCAAATTGTTGACCCGTCACATCACCAAACATCAAACAAACAGCATGGTGGCGATCACCTTATTTCCAGGGATTTATCAATCAATCAATTATGTACTTTTTAGTATTTTAATTAAACTTTTTGATAGATAGTTAGGTCTTGACTATTTTCTGGGACTTTGTTGTAAAAGCGCAAATACATTGCCCCGTAATCACGTAATGGCATTACTGTCTCTTTGGAGTCGAGTAACTGGTATAACCAGCTTGATCTTGTTCCTTGTATTTAGATCACTATTTTATTAAACCATTTTTATTTTTATGTACATACACTAAATTGTCGTAAAATATATTGAGAGGCTAAAGTTAATACATATATTTACTTCTGAAAAATTTCTTTATGTTGTTTTATTCATAGTAATGTAAATTGTTTTTATTGCCTGACATTTTATTAAACATGATTCTTCTAAATTATTGTTTTCTCTAGACTCTGGTCCCGATTTTACAAACTTTATACATATTTATATGCAAAATTGAACCCCGATTTACACGAATTCGACTTACACGGCTATCGCTTGGTCCCACCTATCGCGTAAGTCCGGGGTATTACTGTACATCAAACCCTGCAGTTTACATCCTTCGCTGTATAACTGACGGTTATGTAGGTATGTGGTGTTTGATTAAAAAGGAAGGCATGAAATGAAATTTTGATTGGACAGCAAATAATAGGCAATTTTCTTTTATTTTATGGTATTATATTCCACACATCTAGATGGATCTGTTGGAAAGTATTCTTGACATTTTGTCATTAGTCTTTTCAAAGCCTGTATATATTTTCTTTGTGTTTCGTCGTTCATCACATGGGCTACGTTCTTCGAAAAGATCTTTTCACGACCAGTACGCGCATGAATACCGACCATAGTTACTCCAATAGGCCATGGGGCATTTCCTATTGCCATTTGTAGGTAAGCATCACTTGCCTGAAATAAATTCATAGATATTCATAAAACGCGTCAAAAGAAGAGAATGTTTACACTTTTTTTGACACATATTTACAGTACTTTTTTTCCTATTATAAACATAAATCACAACACAAGAGTTGGTGATAAGTGATGATGAAGTCCTAGATGGTAAATCGCGCCGTCTTAGTGTAACAAAATTTTATTTTTTAAATTATACTTTAAAATTTATCAACCTGTGCTTGCTACGTGGTAAATTTAGATAACTCTTTCTAGATGATTGCGTGCTATCACATCACATTCTTTAAATGAGACTTATGTTCAGCAGTGAGCTTAATATGGACTGAATACGAGGACAGTACCTACTGTTATAATGATCTGTGCCGATAGGACATAACTAATATAAAACGAAAAGAGGTAAGCCATCAAATACGAAAAATATTAACTGTATAAGACATAATATTAAAGTGGTATGATGTATGCAGACAGTTTTGCAAACATTAAAGATTACTACCTGAACCTGAAATACTCTGACCTACTGGGTCACTGAAGTAGTATAAAAGTGATTATATATAGATCTAGTTGTGCCATAAACTGCCACAAGAAATAAAATATTGTATCACAATTACCATAATATAATTTCTTTCCAACAGATGCTTTGTTATTTCCATAAGGCTGTCGCAAATGTCTTCAGGTAAAGTCTTTTTCTTTAACTTTCTAGTTAGAGGTTTGAGATATACTTGTGTTTGTGTGTATGTTGCTCTTGCCATTTTATGTTTTACTGAGTTTTTCTCCGCTGCTGTCGCGGAATTAAGTTGCTGGCCCCACATTTTTAAGAGAAACTGTTGACAATATTTTTTTGTTAATATCCACTGTTACATCAAGAAAAAAAAAACAACAACAGTCTGATTTCAGTCTACTGCCGCACATTTTAAGTACGCCCCACCTGGACAACATATCAATCTAATAATAGCGCCATATACTTACTTCTAAATAAACTAAAATGGTAAGTCACTGATTTGAAACTTAAATAATAGACTGCTACTGAATACACGATGTAATTAATTGAAAATTTGTTCGTGGCTTGGTTGGATGTGTGATTACTAGGTAGATGTGGTCATGCAATCATGCAAAAGCTTAGTTTCAGTTTTTATGAATTGTATTTGAACAAATACGAGGGCCGTGTAGCGCGCCGTGATATTTCATCATGGCACGGGAGCAAAACGTGTACAATTCCTTCGAGGATGAATCTTTTATAGAAAATTTTACGTGCTGACTTAACACGTGTTCGTTAAAGTAGTGAAAAATAACTTCGTGAGGAAACCTAAATGTCTGAGCAATTAAAATGGTCGTGGAAATGTGAAAACCGTTAATATACGTTGAAGCATTACAGCATACTCTATTTTTCAGCCAACAAAACACTATAGGTAATGAGGAGCCCTATGCACAGTAGTGAGAGGTATATTAGCTGCTACTTTACTTTTTTACCTTTAATGTGACTTATAAATCAGTTTGTAATTTAAGATAGCTTGCTTATTTTCAGATATTATATTAAAACATTTATGGCAGTCCTGGTTTCATAGCTCATGTGACTATATGTAAATGAACAGGCTCTTGCGGAAAAATACATTAATTAAAGAAAGGAGATTTCACTTAAACTAAGTTTCATTTTATTTTACTTGTCAAAGGCGGTTATCAAACTGATTAAAACATAAATTTCATGGTACGTAAGCATTATTACCTATATATTTTAGCATATATTTTTATTGCAATTTGAAGTGTCGATTTACCACGTTTTGGGCGGTGAAGGAAAACCTGTATACCTGAGAAGTTTCCTAGTTGAGGTCATCCCGCGTTGCAATCAGCGCAGCGAACACTTTTTTGGTCAAAAACTCTGCGCCCAGTGCCCAGTAGTAACATGTACGCGAGCTGCTACTTTTTTTCTTGCAATTTTTAATTCATTCGTATTTTCGGGTATTTTACTTTTGTTCTTTTCACTCTACCGTAAATATTAAGGGTTGCAAAGATGAGTAGAACTCATAATCGTCAGCCTATCAAAAGGCCACGACCAGGTCTCCCCCCTAAATAGTCACGTAGCTGGGATATTTGCTATAGTTGCCACGCTTAGTAGGCGGGTTGGCAACCGCTGCTATTATTATTTTAAACTGTTGTCAGAAAGATGATGCTGCTCATCTCCTCTTTGTTTTCCTATGTCGCCTCTTACAACGGTACGATATGAGGTGGCGGATTCTCTTTTACCGCCACAACAAGGCGAACATTTTTGTACTCCCGTTTATGGGTGTAGTGCTTCCCACGTTCACTGTGAAAAAAAAACTTTCATCCAAAGATGCGTAAAAAACCCACGTAAAAAAAGTTAAAATTAAACGTGATAAAATCCGTAAAATTAGCATTATGTGTAGTATACATCATTATAGATATGTATACTTCACATAGAATAAAGCTGCACTTATGAAATTTTGAAGTCTACTCGGACGTAAAAAAGATAGCTCCATCTATTTTATGGTGCCGATCAATATTATTATATAGAACCAATGATATGAATAAAATATCACAAATATACATTATACCGTAAATTGATAGAAGACCATGAAATTAATCATTATTTTGTTAAAACTAAATTAACTTTAGTTTAGTGCAGGCGAAGTGTAGGGCGTCCCCCCACTAGATGGAGTGACGACCTGGTAAGATATGCAGGAAGTCGATGGATGCAGGTGGCTCAGGACCGTGCTTTGTGGCATTCCTTGGGGGAGGCCTATGTTCAGCAGTGGACTTGTGAAGGGCTGTAGTTATGATGATGATGATGATGAAATTAACTTTAATTTTGAATGAATGTAAAGTGCAAAATGTAAATAATAACAATAAATTTTGATTCCAAGACAATTTACCTTTCTTATGGATACATCGGAGGATACGCTCGATATAAAAATTGTAGGTTTTTCTAGACATATATATTCACGTGTTCCTGTAGCATATTATATATATATATATATATGCCAAATACCATTCATCTACGTCTAAGTCTTTTAGAATTCAAAAAAAAAACTTAGACATAGAGACCAGACACAGAGGTGACTAAGTGATCGAATTTTTCTAAATTTGGCACGGAACAGCATTTAATGGTGTTCCTAAATTTAAACTCAAGCGAGCAAAGCCAAGTAATAAGCTAGTATAGGCTATAATTACAGTTTTTAAACTTTAATATATCAGCCAGGGTTGAAACCCCAGGATAAATAGATCTAGATAATACCTTTTATTTTATTTTCACTCATTTGAAGAAGAGTAATGAGTTCTTATATTTACGCGAACATTATGAAGATTAGTCAGTTTTTACCATCAGTCAAGTGTAATCTCCATCTCCAAGATGCGGGAGTGTACAAACTTGATTGTGAATGTGGTATCTCTTATATAGGACAAACTAAACGATCAATAAAAACCCGCATTAAAGAACACATAGCTTATGTGAAGAATCGACGCTTCATAAAGGCTGCAGTCTGTGAACACGTACAGGATTGCCCCTGTCACTACATTAAATTTGATAGATCACAAATACTCGTTAAAGAACACCTATTGCTTCCAAAGATTTGTTGTCTGTCTGGTAGGTTCAGTAGGTATTGCCAAAACAAATAGTAATTGTTTTGGTACTTTTCCAATAGTTATGTATAATAAAGACCTACATGATATATGAGAAATTCCTAACCTTGGGCTAACATTTTTCAAAGAAAGAAAATTACCATCCAATGAATATTGAATGAATACACAAACCTGCAACAAGGTCATGATAACATTCATGTCATGATTTCTATCTCCTTGACCCATTGTCTTGGCCATGTCTTGAATAAATTCGTAGGTAATGGAGTCATCTAAGTCATCTTCTTTGTTAGCTTTTTCACTATCATTCTGTAATTATCAATAAAATATATTACGACCCTGCACTTTATAACGTAAGTGTAATATATTTTAATGTTGTTCATATTTTAGAAGGTATTAAATTGTGTTAATCTTATATTTGTTATAATATTTTATTATATACAATATTAAAAACTATAATAAAAAAAACTAAAACTAGTAACTTAATTATCATACAATTCAACTCCCCGCGGTATCGTGCCAAAAACGCTGGCTGCGTTTCCCCGCTGAATGGGTATACTTAACCTTTGAGCGAGAAAAGAACCAGCCGTCTTATCACCAGCAGCAACGATCAGCCGCGGATGGAGTTCCTTTAGCCACTCGCCTGTGAGGTGGCAGAATTCAGCCAAGAAAAAAAAGCCGCGTCTGTGGACTGGCTGAATTCTGCCATTACTACACGGTCGTATTTCGCGGCAAAACTCGTACGTTTCTTTATCTTTCCCAGTGCAATAAGGGTGCGTTTATTATGAACTTGACTCTATGATATACATAAATACTAGCAATGTCTAAAGAAGAAAAAAAAAAGAATCTTGTCATTGAATTTCTACTGATTTTGCGCTTTGAGCTGATATGATTGTTTTGCTGAAAAAAAATGTATGTAGAGCCTGTTTTTGTGATAGATCTGTTAAAATATGCACTGTTAATGTAATTAAATGCTTATTATAATCAAACATTTGTTATATTTTATTTTTTACATAGAAATAAATATGAATTTATGTCCCCCAACTTAGATGTAGTATAACAGATTTATTATAATATTGCAGTTGATATGATTTAAAGAAATAGGAAAAGAAACTAATTTTGAGTAATGGATAAAGAAAATAAAACCTAAATTTAAAATAGAACTGGAAAAATTACGATTTTTATAGACTTAGGGCCAAAAATAACCCGAGTCTGTGATGTGGCTGAATTCAGCCACACAGATATGAGTTTCTCACAGCTGAGAGGAACTTCACCGCACGTGGACCCCACGGACCGATAGTCTCTACAGCAAATGGCACAAATATGTAGTCATCTCTCAGAGACTCATATGTGCGCCACTTACTCAGTTCAGCTACCTCTGATGCCGCCCCGGCTCTAAACGGGATACCCCTGAGATGAGAAACCGCCAAAGTGTCTACGCAAAAAAGTTTTCTTAAATTCTTAAATTTAAGTGATATTTATACTTACTTGTGTTCCTAATGCTAATATTTCGTTTAAATATGCTTGATCAACTTTTTCCATAGCTTCTTGAAAATCATTTCTAAAGCCCTGAAAAAAAGCATGTGGTTATAATAACAATATGAATAGTCATATTATTCTAAAAACCTTCCTTATTTAAAAATACAAAAAAAGTAAATGCTTAACGCAGTGTCCATTATATTGCACACATTTTTAATAACTGAAAAAACTAATGAAAACTATTATTTGTGTTACTTGTAAAGTGATATTGCATGCTTCTTCACAGTACCGAAGCTACAGGAAGAACAGAAATCCCGATTTCGTTGAAGACTAGTACAGAAATTCCCAGTTTTTAAAAACGAATATAAAGATTTGTTGATGAACCGTTTACTACCACAGAATAAATAATAGTTAAAAGAACAGAACGATCACTCTCTGATAGTAAACTTGCGAGTTTAAACTTATTTACAACGTCGCTAATGTTCATAATACTTTGCACGCCTCGGAAGTGACGTTCGTGAAATTAGCCTACCGTTTATTTCGTCGAAAAAAATATGTGGCGCGCGTATTAATTCAAAGTACACCTTACGTCCGCGTGCAGGTGTCTGTATCACTCAGCGTTTTACGCGCCTTTGCTAAGACCGCTTCTACTGTAGGGTTAGGTGTTGTGAGAAAACAAATTGAATCTTTTGATATTAGTTGGTATATAGCAGAATACACCGAGGTGTTATGCAAAGTATTAGTATTTTTTTTTATTTTGTTAAAAAATAGGTTACCCCACACTAGGATTTTCTCATCTATCGTGGAGGCAGTTAACAAACCTAAATTGTACAAGGACAAATATCTAGACCCGGAACAATTATTTGTAGGCCATACAAATACTCGTTCCGTGCGGGATTCAAACCCGCGGCCCTATCGTTGCAACTCATTGCTAAGCCACTGCGCCACGGAGCCATCAATTTGCTGATAATAAAAACTTTATTGGTCAATGTGAGGAAGGTTAATATGCAACATCGAGGAAAATTAGGTTGTTAACAACGTGAACGTCTTTGAAACTCAGATAATTTACCTACTTACCATTTTTAACCGACTTCAAAAAAAGGAAGAGATACTCAATTTGACAGTTTATTTTTATATGTTATCTCAAAACTTTTTTCTAGGTGAATCGATTTTGATGATTATATTTTTATTTGAAAGCTTGTGTTTATATAATTTTATATAATTTAAACATCCCATATAAATTTGATTAAGATCTGACCAGTAGTTTTGGAATTATCCTTAATAATGCGTATTAGTATTGAAGTCAGTTGTACAAAATTTTTAATTTCATTAGTTGTCTCTCTTCCTCTCTTTTTAAAAAACGTTACCTCCACACTAGGATTTTCTCCTATAACGCAGGGACAGTTTATATACATAGACAGACCCAGAACAATTATTTGTAGGCCATACAAATATTGTTCCGTCCGGGATTCGAATCCACGGCCCTTAGTGCTCCAACTCATTATTAAGCCACTGCGCCATGGAGTAAATTAAATGAAATTATACCCAATGTGGGTATTATTTCATTTGATTCAGATAAATCAACAACTCCATCAAAAAGTAATATTACCATTAACATGGATAAATAAAATAACTAAACTAATGACCATATTATTATGTTTAGCTTACCCTGTTTGCCTCAGGTTCCTGAATTTCTATTCTTCTGAGTCTCCTAAATGACTGTACTTCATTTTCACCAAACAAAATTATAGGATGTCCTCTCTCCCTAAGTCTTTTAATCACTTCAGCTCTAGGCAGTGATGCCGTTTCAGTTTGTTCTGTCTCACTTTCTTGTTTGGTAACTGTAATAAAATATTATCTGACACTTGTTGAACAATTTACATAACATAAAAAATATTTGAAAGAAATTACAAATAAGTAGGGAGATAAACTTTAAATCATTCGACCAGAATAGACTAAAGGTAACCTTCCGATCGTCGCGTCAGTCGCTTGCTATTGAAATACAGCAGCATAGGTAGCCAGTGTCATTACAGGCCATGAGGTATTTCATCTTCATATTCATAGTCCTCAGAGGAGACAACGCATCTGTAGCTTTCTTTATTTAAAATACTCTGCAGGTGATCAGGCAAGTTCCTTTGTCACTTTAACCTTATTATGAAAAAGAAAGTTCTGATGACCCTGTGTTGGCTTTCAATGCCTGTGTCATTATTTACTCATTATTGCTACTGAGAGCATTTTGTGAAAACATGCATTTTACTGGTATTTAGTTTTTAATGCAATGGATATTCAAGGAATCCTTGGAAAAGAAGAAGATAATGATTTCTTATTATTTTACTACAAATTTTTAAAAACCTATTTATCAGAGGAAGAAATTTATTATGATAAGTAAATAAAAATAATTTGACATATACGTTATATAGTATTCAACTTCGAGCAACTCAATCTATTAACTTATCCTATAGTATATGTCTAATGTTGTTGAATATCAAGCTCCACTTGTGCTGGTGGAATTCTTGATTAAAATAAGAACTTCAATATGTAGAATGTATAGGTAATTTATTAGTTGCTATAACAGAGGTAGCCGTAATGCGTGCATTCGCGACCGGGTTGTTCCAAGCAAGAGAGCGTTGTTGTGGTTCCGCGTTGAGTTCATGAAGGTGGTGGGGCCGTGAAGCGCTCGCAGAACCGGTTTGAGGTCCATCGTTCGATGAGACGAGCCGGGGAGAATAATAGGCAGTGACGTCAGGAACAAATGTCAATAATAATAATGACCTCAATGGACACTAGCTATCTGCACAAAACAGGATTATAGTGCCTGAGTGGTTGTAACAGCACAGGTGCTATTCTTTCACTCTCATAGTCATAGTATCAGTTGACACCACCGGGGAGAGATTCGGTGCAGGACCAATGGCTTCATGTGCTTTCTGAGACACGGGGGTGGAAGAACCCCTAACCGACTCTAGGCAGTGCTTCATGCTTCAGACTGATGACTAAGGATTTAACAACACCCTAACTTGTGCAGTCAAAAATTATTTGACTAAAGCGACTAATGTCCTAATTTATACTAGTTCTAATAGACAGCACTGTCTAAAATATCAATTATTCTCAATTAGTAATATATTGTTTTATGAAATAACAAGAATGCATAAAATTTTAATTTGTATAACTGCTTATATTGAAAAGTACTAATTTAATAAATCGTTTTTCATTTAAACATTCATCTTGAGTGTTGTGAGTTAGACTTTAACATAGTACATATAAATTCAATTGCTTAGACACAGCAGCACTAACACATCATCTGTATCAGCTGCAGCTGACATGATACAATGATTGGAAGTCCACCCACAGATCATAGAAACAACAGGAGATATGGCAAGGAGGCGTGGCGCTTGCGAACGCATCTGGTCGCAAAGCGGCCTGATGCCAGTTTCAGTAATTAGTCAAATGTGAACTTGCGACGTGTTTACTGCTCGTGATTTTTGACAAAATGCCACGTTGTTCAGTGATCGTTTGCAAAACTAACAGCTATATTGTGAATTACATGAAAGATGGCATCTCATTTCACACGTAAATACTAAAATATTAATGTTTTTCATATTAAATTCATTAAAATATTACTTCGTGGTACTAGAAACACGATGAAATACCAAATCAAAAGTTTTCATTAGGAACAAAAACCATTGCTTGCTTAGTACAAATCGACCAGTGAATCGGCTGGTCTAATAGCACAATGGATAAGTGTTTTACTGATACTCTCACTCAAACGATAGTTTCGTGAAGCGGCCGCTGCTGGCTTTTATGAGTTAGAGATGTACTGTGATGTTTGTGGTTGTCGATATTTTATACGATTCTGCTAAGTACGAATGAATATGCATGATACTATTAATTATTGTAAAACATAATTTGGTGCTACAGTGTAAGTAACTGCGCATTTTATGGCGTTAATGAGAGTTGTCGTTAAATGGAGATAAGAAAAATCAATATTCTTTACTATTATATGTACTTACTAAGAAACTTTAGAAAAAGCGAAACAGTATTTAACTTCTATAAAGCTTCCAAACGGTAAAAAGGTACGCAGTACACTAAGAAAAACCACTTTTATTGGCTTTTTAGTGTATACAGAAAGTCTCAAGGCATTGTATATACAACTAGTTGAAAAGGCTATTGTATTGATTAATATTGTTGAACCACAATATTAATTATAATTTATTTATTAATATTTTGTTTTACCTACATATTTGTTTATTTTTATTATAATATTTTCTGGACATATCGTTCTTTATTTATTTTATTTTATTTTCATGACCTACATGACATACAATTATAAATAGAAGAATCGACAACTTTCCGATTTAGTCAATCACTAGCGTCTAAGTAAAATAAATGCCTTTTGCACAGCAAGGATAGCGACAGATGTTTTTGGATGAGTAAGTTTTACGGTTCATGGTAAATGCACGCTGTGTTTGATGGGATAAGGTTTAAAATTGGTTGTGTTGTATTTCTGATTTATGAAATGCTGGTGTGTGCGTGACTGTGTATCTATCGATTTTACTGAACTGCATGTGTAGTAGTTGGCGAGTGGCGACAACAAACTTGCGACAACAGGTGCCGATACAGTCCACCTTTTTCATTTTACTAGATGTCTCAGAATCTTACTCCTAACTATAGTTCGGCCGTTCAGAGAATGCGTTCCTGACACTGACACCTATCAGTTAGTCACGACTAGTGACGGGCACAACATAACACTGAGTTCGTTACTGTTCCTCCAAAATGAACCGCCGCGTTATTTTTAAGATTATTTTCGTTTTAAATTGGCGGAATCATTTAAAATTTATATTTTAGTAATTTAAATGGAAAGCAAACAAAGGTAATATTAATATAATAAAATTGTTTTATTTATTCTTTGTTACAAAGTTACAATCTGTATTTCTATGCAATAAAGTACATTGAATTGAATGTGCGTACAGAATATTAATCAGACTCCGATTTGCTTGAGGAGGTGTCTTCATCATCATCTTCGCCTACATGTATAATTATATTATTATCAATAACAGAATCAATCCTGATATCTCGGTCAAAATGTTCCACAATCAGGTTTTTAGTCTTCTCAACAACCTTTGCCCAGTCATCTCTTGTGACTTGCCCGCAGGCTTCTTTTAATAGGGTCATCATCTTTTTTGTGCTGAATGGCGGGGAAGTATTGTGGCGGGCGGCGTAACCTTTTATTTGAGCCCAGATTAGCTCAATCGCGTTATATTGGCAATGATACAGTGAAATTCTTAGAACGCGATGACCGTACTCCAGAGCCAGTTCATCGATTTCGTATCGCACATTTGCCGCTTTATTTTCTTTAACTAATTTAATTAGCTCTGGTTTTAGCATCTGCATATTTGCGTCAATGCCTTTTGCTTGTAACCAAGCCACCATTTCTTCTTTTTTATTAGCTTGGGTAGGTGGTTTCTGTATTTGAACAGAGTGATAGGAGGCATTATCCATGAATATTACAGAAGGCTCTGGTAGGCTGGGCAAAAGCACGTTCTGGAACCACCAAAGTACCAAGTAAACATATATATGATTTCTGATTGCATCGGCGTCAAAAGTGTCAATATCTGTCACGGGTTTAGTTCTACGTTTCTTCTTCGGAGTACGTAAAATATTATCTTCCGTGCCAGTAGAGCCGAACTTTTCTTTATTAATATTTGTTATCTTTCGTTTGCTAACTCCAAGCGCCTGAGAGACGCGTTCTTGTACTAGTTCGACAGGTAACAGGGGCCGCCATTTTGCCGCTCCCGCTCAAAGTAATCTTGCAGCTGGATGATTAACTCACGGGCTCCACTTTTCAATGTTTGTCCACGTTTAGGCATTATTATGCACCAAAAGTAAAAAGAACGCAATACAAAACACAATCGAAATCCGATTTAGCGCCGATGTCAGTTTGAAAAGCAGAAACAGTCCATTAAACGAAAGCCGGGTAATCAAATAAAAACAGATCGAAAACACTTGAAGAACGTAGTCTATGCGCACGAAACGACAGACAGACGACTGTTTTAGCGTCACAAAATGGCGGCCCCTAAAGCCATTTGGGGTTACCATTTTCAAACTAAATATAAAAATGCTACTTTCTTTCGCGCGTTCGGTTTGGTCGTAGTTTTATTTTTATATTTAATAAAAGTTATCTTATAGTCCATTATTTTCAAATTCTTAAAAAGAAAAACAAAACATATTATTTTATAAAGTATAACTGTATAAGAACAGATTACGATACTGTTATTGCCTGTTATTGTTAGCACAGCACTACAAATATAAAGCGCTGACTATGGAGTGTAGAGTAGAAGGAGGACCATCTCTGTATATGAAAAGTGTCCCTAAAAACGCGTCCAATAAGGGTGGCGCTGCAGTAGCATAGGATAAATTAAAAAAAAAGCGCCGAAATTAATTAGAATAAGATGGAGAAATAAACAAGGATTGGTTTTGTACTAAGTAAATAGTTGAGGTTTTGTATACTGGCATTTTACTAACTACTCTAGTCATTAAATTTTTTAAATATTTGAATTCAGCTGACTTCACTCCGTCTACAACAGCTAATTCATATCGTAGTTTTTCAGATGCCAGCGCTATTGTGGTATGTTTTGGAATCTCTATTTTCAGTATATAGTGGGACACTTTTTCAACTTTCGCACCTTATAAGATGGTTCTCCTTCTACTCTACACTCCATAGCGCTGACATAACCTTGTAATAGCGCAGTATAGATTTAGAAAAATATTGTTTACCAAGTTATTTGACACTCAGTTTGGCACAAAATTATAACATTCATTGATTATTGATATAATAATGTTGTTTTAATAAACTTTTACTCATCAATTGTTAAAACAGTAAACAACCAGCAAAAATATTTTTATCGTAACTGCAACGCCATTACAAAGTTACGTCGTCAGTTCAATCGCGACGTGTCAGGAATGCATTCTCTGAACGGCCGAACTATAGTTATAATATTATGTAAGGGTAATACTTCTAAAGAAAATATCTTAAATATGCCATTAAATCATACCTTTTTCTGATGCTTCGTTTGAGTCATCTTTTTCAGGTTCTTCTTTTAGCCCATATTTTTTTAAATATTCCTCTTGCTCTTTTGCTATAAGCTCCCCTCTTTTAAAATATTTTTTTGTTGGATTCTGTTGAATGGAATATTTGATTTTACTTATTTGTATAAAACAAATACCTATATTGATTTAAGAACAGTTATTTTACGATGATAGGGGACAGTGCAGCTTAGCTTTCCATTGACGTCCGTTGAGTTGGGTGTTGATACGTATTTTTACAGAAAAGTTACACTATTATAAGCACACACACAGTTTCAACATGCGGAAACGCGTAATTTTTGAGATAAGAAATTATTGAAAATCAATTATTCTTGCAATGTTTATGTCTAATCCTACCGTAAAACTGGCGCCATTTTGTAATGACATTGTCGTCGTCAGTATGGATGTCGAATCTTTCCGAAAAAGGTCGATTTTTAAATCGATTCAAATCGTAAGCTGATGTATCAATTCAAACAAAATCGATTTCTAAAATATCTATATTTTTTTCATGTTTGCATTTATAATGTAAATATAAATCCATTTTATGAAAAACAAGAAAGATACCATAATAAATGATCTCTTATTGAAATTTGTTTTATTTTAACAGTACCTATTAGGGCAGATAACAAATAAAATAGTTTAGGTTCAACTTATGTCAAAGAACTGAATTGATTGACCCCGACTCCACCTGGTACAAGTCTGTCCTACCCCTAGAGTGGTTTTATAGAGCCGGAGGCTCGTAGGGGGAGCAGCCTCCGCCTGCTGTAACAAATCGTAGGCATCGGACAAGGAGAGATGCCTGCGATTTGTTACGCTAAGGCGTAGAGGCTGCTCTTCCCGCAGCGCCGGAGACGTAGCAGTCTCAAGATCGATACAGAAATCCTTCTGAATCAGCTCCCTTATTTTTTTATGATGAAGGGGATTTTTTTCTCATAAAATGGATTTATATTTACATTATAAATGCAAACATGAAAAAAATATAGATATTTAAGAAATCAATTATTTGGGAATCAATACATCAGCTTACAATTCGAATCTATTTAAAAAATCGATTTTTTTCGGAAAGAATCAACATTCCTACTGACAATAACAATAAAAAATGGTGTCAGTTTTACAGTAGGAATTGACATAAATATTGTGAAAATAGTTGATTTGCAATTTTTTTTTCTCAAAGCGTATGTCCCCGAATGTTGAAACTTTGCGTGTGTGCTTATAATAATGTAACCTTTCTGTAAAAAAAATATCAATCCCCAACTCGACGGACATCAATGGAAAGTCTTACCGAGAGTGCACATAGCTTAATAGCAGACTACTATGACTAAGGTTTAAAATATTTACTAAGCAAATATTGTTTAGTGAGGGTTATTATACTACTAGAGTACATGATTGATGAAGTGATCGTTACAATGTTGTTTCTAAATGTTTTCAAAACAATTGTTTAAATTTTATATTGTAAATTATACTGAAATTAAAGTCTCGCTGGATATCTTACTGGTTTTTCCCAGGGCAGAAGTTTTTTTCCTAACCAGTGGTGAAGGTAAAAATTACTTTCAATAAGAATTACATATTATCACTATTCTAATAGGGAAACTAATAATTAAAATTTACTAGAACTAGTTCTACTTGCTTATTGGTTATACTAAAAAGTTACATTAGTATCATATCACAAAACTTAAACATGTAGTATGATCAAACAATATTTTTATAATTAGAAAAAAGCGCGTGATTAATTAAATACAGAAAATGTTTTCGAACCAAAATATTTTTTTCTTCGAGAAGTTTCCGTTTTTTAGCGATTTCAGCTTTTAAAATATCCATTGCCACAAGGAAATTTCAAAACATATATTAGATAAATTTGTTTTACTTAGATATGAACACAAATTATAATGTTGGATATGAAAATTGAAAATGAAACTGTATACGAAATGTAATGTAAATAAAATAAAAAATGACATTAGCTGTCAATCGTTGTTGTTTTTATTATTCGCTCAAGAGAGCAGGCAAAGGTACTAAGCCATACAGCCTTTCTGTCAATCGTTGGTCTGTCACTGTCTCCTGTCATTGTTATTTCACCATAGATAGAAGAAAAATAGATATGGCATGTGTTCACGTGATCTGAAGTCAAGTGTTTCTCAAATATGGCGACGACTCCACCCACAAGAACTAGTGTTGTTTTTGTCGATATTTTTAGTATCGATGCTATATAAATTATGACGTATTGTCCATCTCATAGGTATATATTAAATAAACAAATATTAGATCAATACACTATTACATTGGGTTAATCCTGTAATAATAGTTGTATTGAGATGATAAATAAATAAATCTTCCGTTTAACTCAGAATCGGAAAATTTTGAAACTGTAATTGCTTTAAGATATGGTGAAGCAACCGTCAACATTGAGCGAAGAGACCAAGGAAAGAGCGCTTGATTGGAGCTTTAACTCCTTTCTTTTCAGAACACGTATGTCGGTCACCAGTTCAACACAATGGTCGGTTACCAGTTCAAGTCACCATGAACGCGCAGTAGACTGACCTTTATCTTGATTATTATATTTAGTTTGTGGAGCATGTGTTCTTTCATACATAGTTACTAGCCGTCATCTCTCTTTTTTTTGATAATAAAAATTATTTATTTATTTATCTCAGTAATCTAATCGAGTTGAGCAGCCCATTCTAACCATACCACCGTTCACACAATCCATTAATCATTTAACTATCCTAACGTATTCCTCAATCTTCAGCATCCCATGTTCATACCATATGAACCAATTTCCATGCATCATTTCGATCAATAGGGGTGGCTGCGCCACTTCAGACTTCCACTTCCATACTCATTTCTCATTATATCCCATTTGTGTAACACCACAAAATATTAATTTTATAGTGTTTACACCTGCAAGTTGTAATGACTTCCACCAGTGGCGTAATTAGTGGTGGATACTGGAGGTAAACGAGAGAGTAAGGTTTAAAAATAAATAAAATAACAATAACGTATACTGATTAAAATCATTTATTCGTGACGAAATAATATTATTTAGCCAGAAAATTTATTTTAGACACATGAACCAAATCAGTTCGTGCTATACTGGTGGTCACCGGTACCAAAGACCTCAAGACGCTAGCTTCGATAGAAGAGCAGGTTATGGTGACGATGCGACCTATCGGCGTTGCAGAAGTCGAATCGACTTCGTCAGGCGAGGCTTCCATCATTGCTGAAATCGCTAAGATTAATAAGCGCCTGGATAAAATGGCTATGGGCAGATCGCGGTTCCAATCACGTGGACGTGAGAGGACCCGAGCCCGCTCACAGTCTCAAGGTCGCCGCAGCCGTACTCCTGGGCACCCTTCTTCTCGTCTTACTCACTTAAGCCGAACTACATACAGCGTTCTATTTATACATTCTTCTTCAAAATACAAGGAGCATATTCTTCTTACTATTTCAGGTTTTATGTTTTCCTGGCCTATATTATCAATCCACAATTTTTGAAGGCCTTCATTTTTGGCAACCTAAAATAAATATTATGCATTCTTAAGTACCAATCAAAAATAATCTTAACATCATCAAATCTTTTGATGAAAAAGACTATTATAGAAAATTTACGATTTATACTATTTTCAAGTTCTTTTCTTAAATGAAAGGCTCTCAATCGATCGTTTGATTAACTATACAGTTTACGTATCTAAAACGTTATTTGATCAGAGGACTACATTAATATTATTGTTAAAATTTATATCGATAATTTCAAAACATGACAGCACGTAAGGGCAACACTATGTAAAAATGTAAACAATCAAAATGTTTACTTGTTTAAATTTACATGATAATAGTCATTGGAAATTCTAGATAATAGCGGGAAATACGATTTAGAACCCATAACATGAACACGAAACGCAATTCACACGAAAAAATATACAATTATGGAAAAAAATTACAACTAACGTGAAAAATGACAATCCTTCTTCTTTTTACGAGAATTTGAATTACATCTATTGATGCAACACTTTGTTATGTTGTTTTTGCTCAATTACCCTTTACTAATGAACAAAAAAGCTCCAAAATAGTCAAAATTCACTGTAACACTGCAAAATAACTCCGAACAAGGCTTAGATGACAGAAGAACTACCACAAATGAACGTCATCCTAAAATGGCGTCATGCTTCAAGGTGGAGCTTGGTGAAATTATGAAAACTGTCAACAGAAAATTGAAGTCTAAGATATGTACTTATCTTTTTTTACATTTGAAAATCATAACGTGTGAGAATGAGACAGATATATTTTTGTTGGCAAGGTTCATGTTTGCATGATATTCGTATAACCAAAAAATATATATGCAATTTACTGCTTATCCTCTATTTTTCTTATATCAATGCATGTCACCCGCTATGATCTATGACCATATTTGTATAACTGGATTTCCGGCTCTGGAATCTAGCCCTTCTGAGCCTGAAGTTACAATGTATAAATTATCGTTCATAGTACACTGCTTCACAATATGTTGATGCGTCACATTGTGCAGCCATTGGGAGATTTTGACGGCAACTTGGGCCAGCAGACGGCTAGCGATGGTATCTCAAGACGCCTTATCCTGAGAATCAAATTGCCATCAGAGCACTTGCTTCAGCGTTTCCACTAATAGTTCACATGCGCAGACACTTAATACACAAAATCGCACCACTTTTACATATCAAAGGAAACTTCATACCATTATTTAAACAATAATATAAGAGCAGCAATCCTCCACCGTTCAAGTTCCCGCCAAAACCTCGATCTAAGACCATTTCTGCTATAATAACAGACTATGAAGGTATGGACATAATCTCCGAATACCACGTATATATAATACGGAGAACGACAAAAATACACAACAAAACCTCAGAGTGATTCTTAGAGTAATTACATACATACATACGTATGCTTAGAGATAACCTACAATTCTACATAAATTGAGTCAATATACTTGTCTCGATTTTTCTAATTTAATGTTCAAATAAGGCAAAAAGAGACATATCTACTGCAAGAGGTTGTGTGTAATTCACGCGTGAAAATAGAAATGTGAAGTGGTCAGCTTTGGTCTCTTTATACTATGCCAAATATGAGAGTAATAACATTCGTATCTTCTGATATACAAGAAAAATGACCCTATAATTGTAGTAGTATTATATGTGACGTAATTTTACAAGACATGACGTCTTTAATCTATAGTCGTTTCGTTCACAATGTTAGCAACAATGGACATCGCTACTAGTTTTTGTTACATTATTTATTTTTATTATTTTATTATATGTCTAAAAATATAAAAAAATAGGACTACATTTATTATTATTCAAACGATCAAGTAAATTGTTTTCTAAATCAAGTGATGATTATTATATTACATTAAAGAAAATATGAAAAATCTTTATTTCATTAACTTAATTCTAAAAATACAAGTTTGCTAAGTTTGGAGATTCCTTTTAAGCTAAATCAGGGGGGTAGCTACCGCCGTATCAGCCGTATCAATGATACGGGGCCCCCGGGCTACAGGGGCCCCGAGAGTGTATAAGCAGAAATTTTAAGGACTTCTATGCGACAGGAAAGGCTATCAGACTTATCGCTACTGTCTACAGAGTCAGAAAATTTAGAAAAACTGAAATCGTCTTCGGCTATGAATGATAATAAATAAGTTCGCAGAACAAAAGGCAACAATAGTTTGGAAAATCCAGAAGTTCATTATCAGCGTTTCATTTAATTTTTATGAAAAAAAATTGTAGTCCTGATTTTTAAAATATATTATTTACGTGTTTTAAATTTAGCGCTCTATTATTTTAACAGGTAGTGTCACCTACAGGGAAAAAATTAATAATGTTTACCAAAATAAATTGATTACACAAACTATAAAATCGATATAGGCTGTTTGGTACATGTGTCCTTTGTCTACCAAGGACTAAAAAAAGTTAGCACCTTTCAATTTTTAATAGCAATAAAACTAAATAAAACTTATAAACTTGAGAATCATTTTATTAATAAACTACACATACTAGGCTATTGATATGAAATAGGGAACCAGTTAATTTAATTCTGAATCTAATAAAAAACCCGGTCTCTATACGTCAATTATTTCGAGAGTTATCGTGACCACATACAAAATCCTGACGTCCACGTATTTTTTTTCAACCTCTTTTTTTTTTCAAAATAGTAATAGTACGTTGGGGTAAGATCGGTGATGGGGCAAGACCGTAGGATTCAAATTCCCGGTGAATTATGCTATATTTTGAAAAGCTAACATATGCTACACGACGCCATTTCATCCTGCCCCGACCCTCAGTTCGCGCCAGTCACTTCGGCAAGTGGGACCTGTGCTGCGTGGCATTTTATAAAACAATGTAATTTTTGTATTATTTTTGTCCATCCGATCTTTCCCTATCACTTTTATTTACGATTTTTAGCGAGAATATGGCTTCTTTTGTTATAATTTTGTGTGGATACTAATTTTTATGAAGTTATAGCTAAATAAAGCTGGTCCATGCAGGGCTAAGATCGCTGTAGGCCGAGATCCGATGTTTCCCCTCGTGAGTGAAGATCGGATGAATATTATCCGATCTTTGCCTGTTACAAATATGGCAGTGGTTGTTAAACTTTCATTGGTCGTGTATATTTTTTCGTTGATTACTCAAGTGACTATGGGACTCAGTCTCGTTAGCAAGTCTGTATATTTAAAAGTAATAAAATAATACGATGGTTTTATTACTTTTAAGTACACATTAAAATACATTTTTTTTATGGGATAAGGGTGACAAAGGAGCACACAGTCCACCTGATGTTAGGTGATTGCTGCG